AACTTTCTGAGGGACACGGCACATAGAAGAAAGAAATGTAGTAGAGAATGCGCGCAGAATATTCATATTCCTTTTAGTATCAGTTTTGGGTACATATCATGCCTTGTAGTGAACGCATGCAAATAATATATATATATATATATATATATATATATATATATATATATATATATATATATGTGTGTGTGTGTGTGTGTGTGTGTGTGTGTGTGTGTGTGAAAATATATAGAAATTAGGAAGGAACTGGTTAGGTAAATAATCCAAAGTTCCTTAGTATTTTAGTTATTATTTCTAAAAAATAGTGCTCGATACAAAAGTAGAGCATTAAAATAATTATTTATTTAAAAATATGATTCCAACTAGCGACATAAGAGGTATCATGTTTCAAAACAAGAGCCGAAAACTTCAATATAATTATTTGAATTAAATTGAGTTAAAGAAAGCTCTGTTCCATCTTCAAGCGAAATTTTTTTTGGAATAACGTATTTCTGAAATTTACGTGTTTTAATAATTGAAATCAAAATTTCCATGGTAACAGCTAGGGCGAATTGTTTAAATTGGGTAGGCGTGTGTTGGGTGTTAATAATAAGTATCAATATAGAGTTACTTTCATAGATGTCAAGTCAGAGTAAGGTGTCTAAATTTGAAACGGAAGATGTATTAACCCTCGTCTGGTATGCGTGTCTATGGAGATTTATTTATTTATTTATTTATTTTTATTATTTTTATTTTTATTTTTTTATGAAAGGATTTTGCATAAATTTTTTTCATATTATATATATATATATATATATATATATATATATATATATATATATATATATATATATATATATTCCGGGTGTAACACCAAAATTGTACAATTGTTAGATTAAAATCTGAACCGTTGTATCTTAGAAATGATTAAAGATATCTTAATGGAATTCTTCGAGGCTTTTATAACACTATTGATCTCCACTTTGAGCAAAAAGAATGTACAATTATTCTCCAAGCTTAACAGAAGAATCATGTTGAAATCGATCATAAACAAAAATGACATGTTCATCATTAATTAATCATAGTTAAGGATTGGATCATTTTCAAACTTATTCAAGATGATCTTCGCCTTCTCTAACCGTCTAATTTTCTGCCCTGGAGTCACAATGTTTTGACCTGATTTTCCCTCTACTGTTCCCTCTGTTTAAAACTTATTCACCAATCTCTTGATGGTTCTTGAATGGACTTTGAAGATGGAAGTCAGAGTATGAATGTTGGTACCATTACTGAAGGCCTGAATGATCTTTTCCTCTCACTATTTCTCATTTGGAAAACAGTGGGTCTGACACAAAACAATTTTAACCTATTCTCATTCTAGCTGAATAACTTAAAGCTCGTATATGTATATAAAAAAAATTATCCTTACAATGTTTCTGTTTTACAGACAGGTTGATCAACCTTAAAAAACAAATCAATCAATTTTCGTCAAATGTTGATTTCGTGCATAAAATTTTGTGATATACCTAAGACCCAGGCGACATCAGCAACGGACAACTAGAATTTGGCTGAAAACGCAAAAAAAATTTCTAAACTTTTTTTTTCTTACCACTTCACACCAAGCAAGGCGACAATTTCACTGAGACGCAAGGGCCTACTGGGAGTGAAAGAATACGAAAAGACTTTAGATGGAATCGAAAACCCAATCCTAAACAGGAAACAGGGGATAAATCTCTACTCCTTAGCAAAAAACCGAGGAGGAGTGTGAACCGGGCGATACAGCGGAGTCACTCTGGACACTATACATAGACATATAGATGAGCATCAAAATATAAACATCGTAGCTCCTCTCAGGCGATAACAGGTCGATGCTCCTCAGAGCTAGTGAGAAACAGACAGCCATCTGCAAACATAGATGACAGCTCCCACAGGTCGGACTACACAGATCGTCCAAGTATGAGCAGCTCCACTGGTACGCAAACATTTTCTAGCTACCGCCCCTTTTGGCTCCGAGGCCACACCCTAGCCACTCTATCCTATATTAATACGAAGACACTTTTGTGTCGGTGCTACAAATTCAAATGCACAACTAATCTATACACACATACATTTTGGCTTTTTAAAGTTGCTATCACATACGATGTTGCTATACCAGTAGTTCCCAAACGGTACGGCGTACCTCATAGGTCCGGCGCACCTCATAGGTCCGGCGTACCTCATAGGTCCGGCGCACCTCATAGGTCTGGTGCGCCTCAAAGGTGCGGCAGAAGAGGATAGCAGGTGAGGCGGAATGATTGAAAGTCAATCAAAGTTTTAGAAACAGTTTTAAAAAATTCATATGCCAAAAATAAATATGATTCCAAAATTTAAAATATTATTATGGATGACTTGTAATTGGATGCATGTGTCCCAGTATAAATAGTTATAAATAATTATTGACCGATTTTATCATTGTGATATTTTTACATTATATCAAGTATTAAGAATATAGTAACTAGAGTCTGCAAATTGGAGGAGAGAGTTATCAATGATAATGTTCTGACTTCATATCTGCTGTTATCTCCCTTTAAACCACTCTCTCCCTTTTTTTTCTTTATTTTTTAAGTATACTTTTTATCACATAAAATTTGGTGAGGCGCGAACAAATTTTTATTCCGAAAATGTGTCTCAGAGAAAAAAAAAAAAATTGGGGACCATTGTGCTAGACAAACATCTGCGGCTATATCGCTACACCTACAAACTTCGGGTACTACAGACTTCGACTGTCTTATGATGTTTTTCTGAACCGGTGTTTCCCCTGGAACCCTAGGGTTTCACTAGCTGTTCCATAAGAAACAGTGATAAATCGGCTAAGGAATTTTTGAGTAATTTGTGTTTAATTTTATATTCGTAATTTTACTATGCACGACCGGTATATTGTCGGAAAACCCTTGCTTATTATCCTAAAGGCTTCAAACTCTTATAATTATTTAAAATTATAATAATCACAGAGAATGTATTTAGTGTTGTCTATATGGCGTCAGTGTGAAACCGCCTTCGTTAGTTAGTGTACAGAACCGTTACATGGTAGATTCGTGTATCATTACGTGACTTACTCAAGTACAGGATGTATGAATAGTGTCCATATATTAAGTTAAACCGATTAAAACCCGGTAAAAATTTGAGAGATAGATATTAATAATCATATATAATATTTTATGCTGGGGCTCCTTGAGACTATTTCATGTGTTCCACAAGGATAAAAAGGTTTTAAAACGCTGGTCTAAGGTATGGAGCGTCCTGTTCCGATAACGTCAGTAAGATACAAACAAAAGTTCGGACTTTTAACTGTGGACAACAAAATAAAATAAAACCATGATTTCGTGGATAACGCTTATATTAATTTTATTCTTTGTAAAATGTGACTTGGATTTTGCCACAGTTTTTTTTAATAAAAAATATTTAGTTCTGATACCATTCAGTTATTCTCTCTTTTGGTGGTTTGTTTAATTTTAAAGCCTTCAAAACAAAACTGTTCTCTTTTAATCGGCTGAGAGAACCCGTTTTACTTTCCATAATCATGACTGATGATAACCTCCAACAGAGTGCTTAATTGCGCCTACCCAGACTAACCTTTTCCGTTAGCATGAAGTGGAAATATTATATCGAATCATAAGTAACTAGGACAAGGAATGGCTTGTTAATGTTCGTGCTTCCAAAATGAAAGAGAACTCTTTTAGTTGTCTCTAGGAGAACACTTTTTAGCTGACCGTAGTCTTTAGAAGAGTGACTCATTGCGTCTTTTGGGGTTAAAGTTCTCTGCTGACATGAAGTAGAAAGATTATATCGAATCAACTGCTAGATCTTCTGCTAGGAAAGTTGGTTCCCTGTGCCATGCTAGACAATTTTTCTCGTCAGAATCTGTCTTATACATTTATAAATCTACCATTCATCCTTGCTTTGAATATTGCTGCCACATCTGGTCTGGTTCTTCTGGTTTATATTCAGAGATTCTTGATAAAATCCAAAGAAGCAGCAATGTTATTGGTTCTGACCTGGCATCTCGTCTTCAGTCACTTTCCCCCGACCATTAACTTCCCTATATCTAATCTATAAATAATTTAATGCTAATTGTTCTGATGAACTTTCTGCTATAGACTTTATGAATTCAAATGCAGTACTAGATTGGCGGCATTTTACAGTTGAAATGTCTAGATGTAACCGTAAGTTCTATGCTAACAGTTTCTTCTATCGCACTTCTCGCTTGTGGAACTCTCTTCTGGCTTGTTTCCCAGTCAACTGTTCTTCAAAAATTTAAATGCAATCTCAATCTGTCTTCTTAATTCTTGATCTTTTAATGTTCCTACTCCTGGATAGTGTTTTCTTTTCTCATATTCTCTAACACTCAGTAACCCTTGCGTCTTAGTGTCTTTATTGCCTTGCTTGGATTGTAATGTTTAAAAAAACAAAAACAAAGAAAAAACACCCTATGGATATTCCCACTACCCACTATCCCCACTACCCCCACTACCCACTTTACTTGGCTAACAGTCTAACTCTTTGCTTTCGGGCGGAGAGGAACCCGGACGAGGCTCCGCCGAAGGGCAGAGTCTCGTTCGGGGTGGTTGACTGCCCCTGAACCCGTTTATGCGAGATCCCACGTTAAATCCGGCCTTGTGCCACATGCAACCCTCGTGGGGTTTAGCTAAATATCACTACCTACTTTAAGAATCCTTATACCCATGACATGCACACACGCCTCAACGATTACCCTAGAAGCATGCTTCCACAACCAGTAACAAAATCAAGCAGCCAAGTCTTCACACTAAATCTTGTGCTTTATAAACAAAACTTAAACTTTACTCCAGCTGATGAAGTCTCTGACGTATTAAATTTGACCTTTGACCACAAACAGATAAACACTTCGCCAGTACTTGTCGACACTTATCGTACAAAATGATGGCATCTATGAAATTGATATTTTGTTAATTCCTTTCTGTCGTTTGAAGGTTTTTTTTAATATTTTTTTCTTCTTCTATGGTGCTTATAGCCACATCACGTTGAAACACCGGTCCCTGTACGATCACCGAAGTTAAGCAACATCGAGCCTGGTCAGATGGGTGACCGCTTGGGAATACCTGGTGCTGTAAGCTTGGATGTGCGGGTGGTGCAATGGATAATAGCTCGGAATTGTTGATCGAAGAGCCTAGTTTCAATTCCCGTTGGGTTTGTTATATTCACTTATGCGCAAATACCCATGGGAAATGTATGAATCTACCTATTCTCCTCCCCAACTATGGGTTAATTAGTAGGACGTATCACTAAATCATTATTATCTAAAAAAAAGTCATTCTTATATTCTTATAAGCCGTATAAAGCGCATCAGCCGAATCAAATTCTTCTATGGTGATTTTCTAAGCAAAGCTAGACAAGCTTGCTAATCATTACACCACATCGAGGTGCCCAATGATTATAGCTTATATATGGCACAAGGCTGAAAGTATGGAGTACCAGTGGGGATCGAACTCACTACTCAGTCGTAATTGAACTAGCAAGACAAGCGTGCTAAGCATTACACCATAAATCAAATTCTTTTATGGCTCCTTTGTGGGGCGTAGGACAAACCCCAGATTCACGGGGAGAAATAGGCCATTATTCTATTGATTTAGATAATTTTCTATCTAATTTTCAGCCTCAATGTCCAGATTCATGGTGTGAAAATGGCTATTATCTTATAGATTTAGATAATTTTCTCTATTTCATTTCCAGCCTCAATGTCCTTTGTTGGACGTAAGCCAGCCCCAGATTCATGGGGAAGAATGGGCCATTATCCTATAGATTTAGATAAATTTCTCTATTTTTTTTTCAGCCTCAATGTCATTTGTTTGACGTAGGCCAGCCACAGATTCATGGGGAATCCTATAGATTTAGATAATTTTCTCTATTTTATTTTCAACCTTAATGTCCATGTTTATGAGGAGGAATGGACTTTTATTCCACAGATTTAGATAATTTTTCTCTATTTTATTTTCAGCCTCAGTGTCCTTTGTTGGATTCATGGGGTGAAATAGGCTATTATCCTATAGATTTAGATAATTTTCTCTATTTCATTTTCAGCCTCAATGTCCAGATTCATGGGGAAGAATGGGTCATTAACCTATCGCAATGAATCTTGGGGCGGGTGTGGCAACGCTTGGGTGATCATCTCTCTCTTTTTGATTCATGATCGTTCAAGGGTATCTGAGTAAGTTAATGTAACGAACCCAACTGGAATTCAACTACAATTTGAACCCGGCTCTCTTAATTCACATCTCGTGCCGTTATCCATTACACCACCCAAACATCCAACTTTGCAGTACGGTATTCGCAAGTGGTCACCCATCCAGTTAGTGACCAAGCTCAACGAGAACCGGTGTTTCAACCTCATATGGCCTTTTATATTTTTTTACAATTCTATTGATTTGAAATAACTCTGGAGGGATTATTTCATTATCAACAACAAAAAAACTGACCCCCACTTCATGTACAATGGAAACTTAATACGAATTAACACATATTCAAAATGATGGCGTGTATGAAATTGATATTTTACTAATTTTTTTCTACTGTATGGAGATTTTATATTTTTATGATTATTATTATACTAGCCTAGAAGCCACACTTCGGTAAACTTTAAGCTAGTTCCTGCAGGGTGGGGGGCTTTTGGGCATTCGACCTTTTACCTTCAGCGTCCTATGTACGTAAAAGCTATAAGAGTTTAGAAATAATAAAATTATTTCATCATTATTCGACACCTTAATTCGACATAATCTTTCTTCGTATACGCAACCGATATCCGTAGTTTGTTTACAGATATTTTACGCGCAATTTTTAAATTTTTTTTAAATCACCATTCTTTAGGATCCCTTTACATAAAGTCACTCTCTAAAGCCATTAGGGAACTTGAACTATGTAATATTTCACAGTACGCGTGCTAGAAAAAAAAAAAAAATCATATGAGCAACGTACCGTGCCCCACTTAAGTTTTAATTACGGTTTTAAAATTAGATGTTATCAATTGCAATGGCGACGAAAAGCGAAATTAAAGTTAAATCTTTAATAAAGAATTGTTTTTTTTTTAAAAACCTTTCACTCTTTTCGATATTTAAATTTAACTTTAAATGAATTATTTATTTCATTTTTAATAACGTGTAACTACAGTAGTTACTACCTGTTACTTCAGATTGTTTATGATTCGCCGAGATCGAAAAACGGACGGTCGGACGGACACACGTACACTGAGCATTATTTATATCGATAGATGTTTTTGAGGTAGAGGGTTGCAGAGTAAGAGGCACAGTTCAAGGGTATATTTGAGGTAGATAACGGTCAACCCTATACTTCAACAAGTTAAGATTATCGTATTTGGGGAAGCATCCTCTTGAGAGTCAGTTCTACAAAGCAGCGGATGCTCAAATCGAATTTATATTGCACCAATAGAATATGAAGGGAATGAAGGTAGTTCGCTACAATGGAAACATTTACCATTCATTAACCGAGCAGCCAGTACTGGTGTCGGTTGAAATTTATATAATCTTTCTCTTAAACATTTTTTTAGGAAAATAGGCTTCTCAAGTTCAGTAGCTTTTATAACTCTTTTCAGTATTGAAGGGGGTTTCCTTCCTAACCCTTTGTTTGAAGTAGTGCAGAACACCAACATCTTGATTATATCATTATTTTCTCTTCGAGTTGCAGGTGCTATCCATTTTAGTTGTTGCCGCTGTTGAAAGTCCTCAAGTAATGTCTTTTCTGTTATCTAGTACAGTTCATTGTGATCCTGTAGCGTCAGTCCACTATGAAATGATGGTCTTTGCCAAGATCCTCAATCTTCACTCGCTCAAAATTATATATGGCAAGATGATGTTCACCGTCTCGTATGAGAATACAGGCTATTGAAAAGAATATACTGAGGATTGTTCATATAGCGCTTATTTTGAAACTTTATAGAGTGACTTGATTTTCCAGAACTCAATTTTCTGGTCGTAAAATGAAGATAAAATCTAAAAACTGAACATTTTGGACATATCCAAACTAATCCCATTACAATATTTCATCTTAGACAATTGTTTTGAAAATTTAAAAAACGCAACCAATTACGCAGCACTTATTTTGATTAACTGCGTTACTTAAAACGATTACTTCGCTCAGTTGGTAATAATATAAGTGACAGATGTCTAAAGAGGTACTGTTGATTATTTGCGGCTAATTTTATTTAAATAATCTATTGACTATTTTTGCGTCGCGTAGTAATAATTGTAAGTAAAAGGATGCACTAGTATAAGTAACCAAGTAATCCATTTAAGTTCTCTGAATATCGGTGCCTTTTGAAAACCATAACAAAACGATTAAAGAAATAGCTAAAAAAAGCTGATAAAATCAGTTCTCTTAATTCTTGCATATATCCTCGTCGTTTTCACACAAAGAACATTTGAATTATCGCAGCTTGGACACACCAGAGATTACAGCTTGCACAATTCACAAAAATAAATGATTGGTTCAATGCAGACATCTCTGGAGCCGAAAACCTAAGTGACTAGGGTATTGTTGATCTATCTATCTATCTATCTATCTATCTATCTATCTATCTATCTCAGTCTGTTCATATCTATCTATCATAAAGAAACAATTTATACAAATAATTAAATAGCAATGTTAATGTGATTAATGGTGAAATCACTTCGCTAATAAGACAATGAGACATTGACTTACTTACAAGGAATTGAATATAAGTTAATGTCTCATTAACTTTTGTTAGGGAAGTGATTTCGCCAAATATCACATTAACATTGCTATTTAAGTATTGGTATAAATTGTTTCTTCATGACACACACACACACACACACACACACACACACACACACACACACACATATATATATATATATATATATATATATCAGTCTGTTCATATCTATCTGTATTCATTTATATATATATTTTAAGCTTTTCACCCCAAGCAAAGCAGGAGTGCCACTAGCACGCAAGGGGTTACAGAGAATGGGAGCAAGAGTAAAGAGGCATGATAGAGGAAAGGATGAAGAGAAAGACGGGGAATAGATCAAGGCATCTGGAGATATCGATTGACATTGCATTTGAATAGTTGGAGATTATAGCTATCAGAGAAGCAAGTAAGAGGAAGGGAGTTCCACAGACGGGAAGTGAGAGACATGAAGCTATTGGAGTAGAAGAGACGGCTACATTTAACCATTTCGACATTGAAAGGATGGGACTGAGATGCCAATCTAGTAGCACGATTAAATTCATGCAGTCTGGGAACTAGCGAAAGTAGCTCGTTGGAGCAGTTACCGTGACAGTATTTGTAGAAAAGACAGAGGGAGGCGACTAAAATAGAAATCATTCTAAGTGATTAATATTAAATTTTACTATAAAATTGACTTTTTATTTTAGTCTAACCCTAACATCAAGGCAGTAATAATTATAAGTAAAGTTCGTTGTCAAGTTTTTTGAATTTTCATATACTTGTATTTTGATTGGTCATTGCAGTTTATGTAACAGCATTTCTCCTTGCAAGGGGTGGTTAATTAATTTGAACATTTTAAAACCCTTTATTCTACGTTCAACACCATCACTTGATAAGACACCAGAAATGTTGAAACAAAATGGGCATTTTTGTAGTGATTTTATAACATATTTATGTTATAATTTTCGAATAAATTATATTTGCTCTACTCTGTATTGAGCACTCTTTTAAGAATAGTATTTTTGGTTATTGGAATTTATTCCGTGTATACCAATACTTGTGTGTGTGTATGTGTGTGTGTATATATATATATATCAGTCTGTTCATATCTATCTGTATTTATATATCTCATTCTCTTCATATCTATCTATCTATCTATCTATCTATCTATCTATCTATCTGTTAGCATCTATCTATTTATCTATTTCAGTCACTGTTCATATCTATCTATCTATCTATCTATCTATCTATCTATCTATCTATCTATCTCAGTCTGTTCTTATCTATCTATTTCAGTCTATTCTTATCTATCTATCTATCTATCTATCTATCTATCTATCTATATCTATCTATTTCTATCTATTCTCAGTATCAATTTCAGTCTATTCTTATCTATCTATCTATCTATCTA